TTTTTTTAAAAAAAAGTTTTTGCACTCTGCAGGCCTCCCAAACCCTCTGAACGCCTCATTTTTTGCAACAAAAAAAGGACATGCAGAGCTTTGGAGGTTTGTAGAGTGCTCCTGGGGGCTGAGAGGGGGGGGGGGCAAAAATGAGCAAAAAATGGCCCGTTTTTTGCTCGTTTTTGCCCTTTCCAGCCCCCAGGAGCACTTTGCAAGCCTCCCAAACACTCTGCACGTCCATTTTTGCAAAGGGGGCAGGCGTTCGGTAGGTCAAAAATGCTGTATTCAGTGTATAAGATGCACCCAGTTTTTCACCCTCTTTTTTGGGGGGGGAAGGTGCATCTTATACGCTGAAAAATACAGTATTCTTATATAAATACTAATTTGCGGAGAGAGACAGTTGCTGATCCCAGAAACATGAGGCAGAATGTGCATTCAACAGCCACCAAACCGCACGGTCAACGGGGAATAACAGCTAATAGCACTGAAACTTGATTGGGAATTCCATCGATCAGTCCCACCCATTTGCGTCATTCTAGACCTTCCTGGCTCAAATTGGATTTTCAAGATCATTGCCAATCTTAAGCATTTAAATCCTTTGCTCCTTATCAGTATATTCACATGCAGGGCTCTTAGGCAAGACTAGGTGAATGTGTGGAAGCTGAATTAGACCAAAGGTCTATTTTCCTTCTGATTCTGTTGTGCGCAGTTCCCGAACCAGAAACTCTAAGCAGGCTGCAAAGGCTGTGATTCTCTGCAGACTAGTCAATCTTCTGCTTCTTCTTCTCTCCATTTGCGAGTGTTGCCAACGCAATGCTGAGATCCAGTTTGACTTCTTTTGCGCTTAAGTTCCTGCAAGCATGAAATGACTCACATAATATTTGAATATTGACTTTGTCTTAAGCTTGGGGCTCCAGCTTCTGGAAGAAGAGAGGCTAGGAAATTTGGTTGTTGTTATTATCACTTTCCCCAATCTGTCAATTTTTTTTCCCGCAATTGCTGCTATTAATGGAAATTATGTGAAGTTCAACACACTTGAAGAGCTGCTACTTGTAGATTTGTTTTCATGCTTTCTGCCATGAATTGTTTGACTCCTACTTCATTCAGTTCTTCAGAGGATCTCAACTGATAGGTCTGAGGCCCTAAACTGGTGATTCCCAAATGACAAAACTTGTGTGAAGATACCACATGGAAGGGCCTAAGGGTAGGGCTTGTGTTGCAACACATGTTTCATCAGATGTTCCTCCTTCTTCCTCTCTGCAGGGCCTGTTGTCCCACAACAGTAGAGCATCTGAAGAAAAGTCAGCTTTGATTATTTTTCTAGCCAAATTTGATCTCCTCTATCCTCTTGGGACTGACCAAAACCAATCAGGTAGAGTTTTTGTCCCAGCCTAAATCCATTCAATTATCTTGGGCTGTAACACTATCACACCCTCATCTCTTTATTAATCTAATAGGAGTTGGGTTAGTGTGTGATGCAGTTGTTCTGGATTCCAAAAGGCCCACTGACCTACCTTTGCCCTACAGAAAGTGCCATAATTAGACTGACAATTGCACAAGAGTCCATACCTGTTAAAGAAACACGCTAAACTAAGGCAACGTGTGGTTCGTTTGGCTTGTCCCAGTGATGTATGAATTCAGCTGTTGTGCTTTGTGTGTTATTGTAATGGAACGATAGTTCTGGCTTATTCAGCCAAATACAGTTAATGTCATCATGTCTTAGAACAACCTGTCCAGCCAGCTTGTTAATCCATTTTCTCAACTCCAAACAACAATAGCTTTAACCTTTCAAATCATATTTTTACTATTTGGCATTATTTGTGTATTATCAATTAAATTAATTTTAGCAATAGCAATAGCAGTTAGACTTATATACCGCTTCATAGGGCTTTCAGCCCTCTCTAAGCGGTTTACAGAGTCAGCATATTGCCCCCAACAANTCAGCATATTGCCCCCAACAATCTGGGTCCTCATTTTACCCATCTCAGAAGGATAGAAAGCTGAGTCAATCTTGAGCCTGGTGAGATTTGAACTGCCAAATTGCAGGCAACTGGAAGCAGCAGAAGTAGCCTGCAGTACTGCACTCTAACCACTGCAACCCCATGGCTCAATCTGATTGATATTTTGCGTGCTCTAATCACACCACATCAGAAGACAACAAGTAGAAGAGAAAGCTACCCTACCAAGTAATGGGGGGAGAGGAAATTGTTTTTAAATTGCCATCCAGATTTGGGTGTGTGTATGTGAAATGTACAAATAGTTAATTATTTCTTTTGTGATACAATCTCAGGGGGGGCGCGAGTGATTAACATTCCATTTAAATACAAAAATCAGGTCCTCAAAGAAAGCTGACGCAATTATTCATTACTTACATTTTGTTCTGTTCTTTTATTTTAGAAGATGAAAAGAGGCAGGGAAAATCCAGATATCTATAAATGTTGGTTGTTTATTTTTAAATTTTCTGCCTTTTCTAAATCCTATCAAATGAATAAAATTTACCATGGGCACTGAATTCCATGCTCTTCCTTTCCATTCTGTCCTACCTCAAAAAACATCATTTTTCCATTTAGATTCTATTTTAGCTTCTGTTGCTGGAAAGATTAATCATGCGCTTATTATTCTCCCCTCTCATAAGGTCCTTGATATACTTTGAAACAGAAATTAAAGGATTAGGGAGAAAAATGGCATACTGTTTTCTCTATTATCTTAACTTACATTTTGTCCCATAACTAGCCCTTTAGGTTAATTAAAGGGGTAATATTGAAACAGTAGCATGAATACTTGAATAATTCTAACAGAAAATAAGTTGTGAGACAGTTTTCAGTTTTTGCTGAACCTGTAGATCAGTGTTTTTCATGCCAAATCAATGCCACAAATCCAACAGGCCTGGGATTTTATTCTGAGCACTGGAAGCCTTGAGCAACATTCTTTGGACAATAAAGAAATAAAAAAAATTAACAGAAACAGTCTGAAAGTGCATTTCCATCAGAGGGATGTGGGTACATATGCAGACGATGTCAACAGTGGGGTTGGTGGTTAAAAAAACCATCACTATAATCCACCTGTGTTCTACCCCTCAACTGAGTAAGTCATGGGATGATTTTGCCTCCCCCCTTCAAGATCTCTACACCCAATTACCTCCAACTGGTTGGGAGATAAAATCATTGGCCTGTAAAGTGACTTTGATAGACCTTTTCTTTCCTTTGATTTGCCCCCCTTGCAATCCTGCCTCAAAGTGGCGACCCAACGGCCCAGATGATGACTTAAGAAACGATCGTTGATGCACTTTTTTTCATTGGCTTTAGCAGCTGGTTCCTCTGGGCTCCATGGTGCGGGAGCAAGAAAAGTCCCCCGGTGAGCCCACTTTCCAAAGCTTTGTTCAACCTAGGGGTTGCTGGCGTCCACACGGAGCCAAACCGCACCAGGCTCCGCGGGCAGAAGGCGACAGCTTCTCCCATCCTTGGTTTTTAACCGGGCGAGGTCGATACCACGGAAGCCCCACGCCAGGGGACTTTGGCGGCACCCGGGCTGCCCATCTGGAAGCGTGACTCGGGCAGGGGAGGGGCCGGGAGGGGCGGCCCCAAGCGGGCAGCTCCCCTTCTCGCCCTGCCCGCGCCGGGGCGGGGAGGCGGCCTTGAATCACCGGCGGGTGCCCGTCGCCTGGCCTCCAGCGGGGCATTTAAATGCCACCCGGGATTCAAGCCGAAGGAGCGCCAGCCGCCGCCGCCAACAACACCGCCCGCGCCCCAAGAGCCGGCCCGATCGCGCCCCTCCCGCACCGTCAGCCAACCCAACACCCGACCGGCCGGCAGCTCTTGCGGCGCCTCTTCCTCCGCCTCTCGCTCAGCAACCATGAGGGCCATCCCTGCGCCGGGCGTCCGCTTCCTTCGCTCCTTCTCCAGGGACAGCTGGTAAGAACGGCCAACTGGGCGCCGCGCCGCCTGCAGCGGCTTGGGGGTCCTCGGCGGCAACGGCGCCGGCTTTCGCAGGGGGAGGGCAGGTGGGTGGCGGGGCAAGTAGCAGCCGGCTGGCCGGCGCGCTTGAAGGTTGGGTGGGGGGGGAGACCGGGGGTGGCTGCCTCGCTGCCTAGTGCTGCGCTAGGCCTGGCCCGATTGCCCCCGGATCTCAACCGCTCCTCGGTCTCCGCCTGGCTCGAACAAAGAGCCGCTGGCTGGGATGCAGCCCAAGCTTATCCGCGGGGCGAGGCGCGCGCGAGAAGAGCGGCGGACGGGCAATGTGCGAAGCAGCAGCTCGGCACGTGCCGGGGACGCGACTGGCCTTTTCTGCGGCTGGAGGCCGGCAGAGAAGCGGGGCGTGTAAAGGAGCCCCCCCTCCCCCGGACCCGCTTTCCCTTCCCTTCTGGAGGCTCCTGCGATCCAGAACCTTAAGGATCTGCTCGGGCCCTTCAGATGAAAAGATCCGAGGTCCAGCTAGGCGCCTCCGAATCTCGTGCAGCTTACAGTCTCTCTCTAAGCGAATGCTGGCTGGGGAATTCTGGGAGTTGAAGTCCAGACATCTTCAAGTTGCCAAGGTTGAGAAACACTGCTCTAAGGAGAGACTTCCATTCCTTAGTCTTTGCTCTGGGATCTATTCAATGGATGCAGGCGGGAGTGGATTGCCTGGGATGCCCGCCTTGTGGTTCTGTGGAAAGAGGCTAAGGCAGTGTTTCTCAACCTTGGCAACTTGAAGATGTCTGGACTTCAACTCCCAGAATTCCCCAGCCGGCATTCGCTGGCTGGGGAATTCTGGGAGTTGAAGTCCCGACATCTTCAAGTTGCCAAGGTTGAGAAACACTGCTCTAAGGAGAGACTTCCATTCCTGGGTACCCCCTGCTTTCACTTTTGGGGCACAAGGCAGAGAAAATCAGACCTCCTTAGTCTTTGCTCTGGGATCTATTCAATGGATGCAGGCGGGAGTGGATTGCCTGGGATGCCCGCCTTGTGGTTCTGTGGAAAGAGGCTAAGGCAGTGTTTCTCAACCTTGGCAACTTGAAGATGTCTGGACTTCAACTCCCAGAGTTCCCCAGCCAGCGAATGCTGGCTGGGGAACTCTGGGAGTTGAAGTCCGGACATCTTCAAGTTGCCAAAGTTGAGAAACCCTGGGCTAAGGTGATGTGGCGTTATTGCAAATTTGGCTGTTGCATTTTCATTACATTCTATAATGTGACTGAAAGGCAAGCAGATTGGCTGCGTGGCTCCTGCAATGCCTTCAGACACCTGGTTCTCTTGGAGGCAAAAGACAGGGCCATCTTCCCCCTTCAGGTGAATTGCAATGAGTCCTCAAACGTCAAGGCAGCTTCCAGCTGCATCTTCCAGCTGCAAACAGTGGGAGCTCCGATACACCAAATGGGCAACCACAGATCAGTGTTGGGCTCCATGTTGAGACTTTGCCATGTGCAAGACGAATAGTGAATATAGTGATGTCACTTTCCATGGAAACAATAATAGGCAGCCTTCAACTTAGGGCCACAATTGAGACCTCCGTGTCAGCTGAGTGGCAGGAAAACCATGGAGTGGCGGGGATGTGAAAGCAAGGTTTATCCCACATCAGGTTTTGTAGGAAACATCTTCAACCGGATCATAAAATCCATGCTACTTATTGTTTGTGAGGTTTTCCTTCAGAATGCAAGAAGGCAGCCTTTCCAGTATGTCATTTCTCACACGTTTGGAAATTATTCCAAATGATTGGATGGGTGCAGAAATCATTAGGCAAAAAAGGTCCCAAGGAGAGCAGTAATTGAGTCCCTGATGGATAAGGTTTTTGCCCTGTGTTCCTAAAAGATTTTTTAAAATTTCCATTGAGATCTGTTTTAATCTGCTTAACACCCTTTGCTGGTTTGACCCACAAGCAACAAGAAATATCATTCAGTCTTGCTAACATTTTCTCAGTGACAGTAATGCTCACTGTCATATTCTTCCTTCCCTCACCAATTTTTTTGCCATTTCCAACAGTGTGGCATCTTTACGTAGTGCCTGCAATCTATACAGAAAAAAAAACTTTGCTATCCCAGGGTCAGCTAGATGTACCTAGCTTTTGCAGGTGTCACAAGGAGAATACAGTCTGAGTTTGTGTGCCATGGACTAGAACAGGCTATTGTGGTTTATTTGATTGAGCCTAGGGATGTCACATTAATAGCAATAGCAATAGCAGTAGACTTATATACCGCTTCATAGGGCTTTCAGCCCTCTCTAAGCAGTTTACAGAGAGTCAGCATATTGCCCCCNAGTTCCCCATTTATTCCCTCATCCAAATCATTGATGAAGATGTTGAAGAGTACTGGGCCTAAAACAGAGCCTTGGGGTACTCCACTGCATACTTCCCTCCATGTAGATACAGTTCCGTTGAGGACCACATATTGATCAGCCAAATCTATCTGGTGGTGATGCTGTCTAACCCTCACTTTTCTACTTTGTCTAATATAGGTTATGGACTACTTTATCAAATGCCTTACTGAAGTCCAAATAAATTTTAATGCAGATGTCTCTATCAGCATGCCTTCCCTATTTTTTTTAAAGTAGACACAACAAATGCCGACTTTCAAAGATGATTATATTTTATTTGGGAAATTATGTTGAATGAACAGCTGGTCCTATCATTTCAGTATTAAATTATTCCAGCCCATTACACTTTTTCATTGTCCCACCACTCTATTGTTATATTTGGGTGCACCATGGGAAGAGGTAGTAATGGATAAAATATCAAGTTGGCAACTTTGACTATATGATTGAAGTCATATCCTTTTTTAAGTAAAAATAGGGCATGTGTCTATCATGCAGTTGCAGCTATCACTTTTTGACCACCTGTGTGGACACATATTGTTTTGTTACATCAACCTAAATAAACTAAATTGATAAAATAAAATCAACATTGAGAGCAGATGGCTGAACACTTTAGAGTTGCTACCTTGATGCCATCCAAGAGGGATCACCTGATTTTGATACCAGTGTAGTGGATGACAAAACGTAACAGACTTTACATGTTTTGTGACCAGAGGTTGGTTACTCCCAGTTTTGGTACTGGATCGCTTCATGTGCTCTGCATGCGTGCACAGGTCAATGTAAATTGTTCTTTGCACATGCACAGAATAATTACAGTGAAGTGTGCATGCGCATGCACTACTAAACGGTTCCACCACAAAACCGCGGTAGATTAAAGCGCGCTCGACGAAAGCGTGTACGTGACGTCATCACAGCGCAACGAAAACAGCACGCTGTGAGCGGTAAACTTAAAATTAACACGTAAATCTAAACCTAACCCCCCCAAACCTAACCCTAAACCTAACCCTAAGCCTAACCCTTAACCTAACCCTAACCCTAACCCTAAACCTAACCCTTAACCTAACCCTAAACCTAACCCTAACCCTTAACCTAACCCTAAACCTTACCCTAAACATAACGCTAAACCTAACCCTTAACCCTAAACCTAACCCTAACGCTTAACGTAACCCTAAACCTAACCCTAACGCTTAACGTAACCCTAAACCTAACCCTAACCCTTAACCTAACCCTAACCCTAAACCTAACCCTTACCTTTATGTGAATCGGCTTGCTTTAAAAGCGCTTTTTAAAGCGCCCTTTTTTCTCTGTGGTCGTATTTGTTGCGCTGCTGATGACGTCAGGTATGCGCTTTAATCGGGCGCGCTTTAGTGGACAGCAGTTTTGACAGGTCACGTTTCTGGACATTCTTTTCTGGGTGTACACACTTTTTGCTTCAATCAC